GTACGAAAAAGAGTCGCAGCCGCGCCTCGGCTGGGGACTTTCACGGAGTCATATCGCCTGGGCGGCCTTGGGGTTCTCCTTTTTTCCGCTCCCCCCTCCCCCCTCCCCCCACGCCATGTTATAGCCTATGTACGTAGTATGTACAGGTACTATATGTTATCGCGTACTGTATGTACAGTATGTTATTGCCTATGTAGTGAGCGCACTTGTCATTGGCTGGGCGCGTTTCAACGTTTTTTGTTTGGTGTTTGATGTTTGGTGTTTCAGGTTCGGTGTTTCAGGCTTGCTTGGGGGTTGGGGTTTGATGTTTGATGTTTGATGTTTGGAGGCAGGCGTCTTGCTTACTTTTTTGGTCCCGTGAGTGAGTGGAAGGAGGGGGGGGGGGCAGGGGTGGGTGGGAGGAACAGGGGGGGGCAGGGGGGAGCAGCAGGGGGGGGTGGGTGACGGGGGGGGTTGCGTGACGGGGGAGGGAAGGGGAATTTTTTTTTTTTAAAAAAAAAAAACCCAAAAACTGGTCCCCTTTTTTTATTATTATTTTGGGCTATGTTTGAACAGAGAGGAGGGGTCTGTGTGTTTCGTGGGTGTGTTTTTATTTATATATATGTATGTGAGTTGATATATATATATATATATGTGTGTGTGTGTATATAAATATACATACATACGTACGTATGCATGTGCATGTGTGTGTGTGCATGTGTGTGTATATAAATAAATATGCATACATGTGCATATAAATACACACACACACACACACACACACATACTTACCGGTACATGTGCATCGATATAAATACACACACACACACACACACACACACATACATACATACATACATACATACATAGATACATACATACATGCGTGTATAAAAATATCTCTCGTACGGTCGGTCCCTCCCTACGCGGTCGTCCGTCGGTGGTTTTAGATATAGCCGTTGATCCGGAAGGGACGGCTGGATGGGGATGGGGATGGGAGATGTTTCGTGTATCTTTAGGTGGGTGGGTGGGTGTTTGGGTGAGTGTTTGGATGGGTGTTTGGATGGATGGATGGATGGGCGGGAGGGAAGTTGTTACGAGGGGTGTTTGGGTTGGGATTGAAAGGGAGGGGGGAGAGAGGGGGGAGAGAGGGGAGAGGAGGAGGGGAGGGGAGAGTATGGGAATGGGAAGAGGGGAGAGATGGGAGAAGAGAGGATACAGTAGGTAGAATGAGAGCTAAAAGAGAAGTTAAAGTTGGATGGG